GTGGGCAACAATCTACAATAGCAATCTACAATAGCGATCTACAATTGTATGTAGATCTACAACAGTATGATGATCTATAACAACACATCTTTCCTTAAAATTAAAAAAAAAAACCATAGGACTTTGAGGTCGTCTGCCTAGTGTAACATAAATCCTCATTTTATCTCTAAGCCTTTGTATAGCTCTGTTACAATTTAAGCCCTAACTCGCCTTTAGGTTTGGAGGTTGTCATTCAGCACGACCTAAATCCTCACATCTTTCAGGCTATTTGTATGACTATGTCATACAAATGTAAGCCCTAATTAATAAAATTGGAAGGATATAACATTTAAATAATTTTTCTTCTCCAAATTGAAACCAAATCATAAGATAGCTTGGGAAGTCACCGAGGTTCTTCTCAGGATCTGCGACAATCCCTAGTTCCTCTTCCCATGGATTCCATAATATTTTTTCAGATTTGAGTCATTCCCCTTTGACACTTTTTTGGTATGATCTTTTAAAAAGTCATACCTATTGAAATTCTTGAAAGCAATATTCCCTTATCTAAATCGAGAGTTTTCTTAGGTGACTTTGGTTATCTAAGATGTAATTAACTATAGAGGTTTTCCCTTATATGAAACTTTAAGAACCCAGTTTAATATAAACTTATTTGATTTTTATATTAAATAGAGGAACTTGTCGGTCAACATATAAAAATGATTTTTTGTAGACTTAAATAGATGTCATAAATTCTTTAATTTATTTAGTCGAGTCTCACCAGTAAGTAGTGTATCTATCCTTCCAAATAGGTATATTATTTGTAGTGTTGTGCTCGATCATTTAAATTATTGCAGATATGAGAACAGTTCGGTCTCGCATTTTTAAAACTTAAAATATTACTTTTCTAAATTATATATATACATATATTAAATTAAAGTAGACGACAGGTTTCCCATTCTAACGTCCGACAATTTCTAATTTTGACACTGACATTCATTTCATAGCTTCCATAACAAATTTTGGATGTTGTTGACTTATGTATCATGCAAACTTCAATTTTGCAATAAAGCATATGTAATTCTATTTATAAAAATCTCAACAGAAGAAAACTAAAAAAGAAAGCAATGCTCAATATTATACCCCCTAAATTCTACTCCACACTTAGTAGGAGGTAAGTGCCAACAATTCAAAAAACAAAATATGTTAGACAAACTAAAAATATGTGCTCATAAACTTATCTAAAGAAAATAAACTAATAAAAAAACTAAAATAAACTAATGAACATTGCCCATAAACATATCATCTCATTGCTTCTACTGATGGTTCAAAACAGGCAAGTTTGCTGCTATTTTATCTATTATGCAAACTTCAAATGTGCAACAAAACATATGCAATTGTATTTTATAAAAGTCTCAACAAAAGAAAACTAAAAAAAAAATAGTGCTCAATTTCTCCTCTCAAATTGTTATTTCATATTATGGAGGAGGCAAGCACAAATAAATTGACTAATAAAATATGTTAGACAAACTGAAAAACCAGTGCTCATATACCTATCTAAAGAAAATAAACCAATAAAAAATTTGAAGTAAATAGATGAGCATTACTCATATATATTTCATCCCATTGCTTCCACTCAGAACAGGTAAGTATGTTGCTAATTTATCTATCATGCAAACTTCAAATGTGTCGCAAAACATATGCAATATTATTTATAAAAGTATTTCCAAAAGAAAACTAAAAAAGGAAGCAGTGCTTAATATACTAGCCCTAAAATGTTATTGTACACCTAAGAGGAGGCAAGAGCAAGCAATTTGACAACAAAATTTGTTAAAAAAAAACTGAAAACCAATTTTCATATCTTTATCCAAACAAATTAAGCTAGTAGAGAAATCTGAAACAAACAAATGGGCATTGCTCATATATATTTCATCCCATTGCTTATATTGATTGATCAGAATAGGTAAGGTTTTTGCTAACTTATCTATCATGCTTACCTCAAATGTGTAGTAAATCATATGCAATTCTATTTATAAAAGTCTGAGGTAAACTAAAAGAAAGAAGCAGTGTTTCACATTCTTCCCCCATAATATTACTCCACATTGAGGAGGCAAGAGAAAAAAATTTGCCCAGCAAAATTTATCAAACAAACTGAAAACCAGTGCTCATATATCAATCAAAAGAAAATAAACCAAATAAAAAAATTGAAATAAACAGATGAGTAATGCTCACATATATTTCATCCCATTGTTTTTACTGATTGATATGAATATGTAAGGATGTTGTTAACTTATATATCATCCAAGCTTCAAATGTGCAACAAAGAATATTCAATTATATTTATAAAAGTCTTAGATAAACTAAGAAATGGAAGCGACACTCAACATTCTTCCTCCAAAGTGTTACTCAACACTGAGGAGGAGGCAAGTGCAAAAAGTTTGACCCGAAAAATATGTTAGATAAATTGAAAATCAGTGCTCATATACCTACCTAAAGAAAATAAAATAACAAAAAAAAGCTAAATTGAACAGATAAACTTTGCTCAAATATATTTCATCTCATTGCTTCTATTGAATGTTCAGAATAGGTAAAGATGCTACTAACTTATCTTTTATGCAAATATTAAATTTGCAGCAAAACATATGCAATTTTATTTATAAAAGTTTCAACAAAAAAAACTAAAAAAAAGGAACAACGCTTAGCATTCTCCCTCTTACCTTAAATGTTACTGTACGATGAGGAGGATACAAGAGCAAGCAATTAGGCTAGCAAAATTATCAGAAAAACTGAAAAATAGTGCTCATATATCTATCCAAACAAAAAGAAAACCAACAAAAAAAAAACTAAAACTAGCATATGAGCATTGTTCATATATATTTCATTACATTGCTTCTAATAATGATCGATATATGTAAGGATTCTACTAACTTATCTATCATGCATACTTCAAATGTGCATCAAATCATATGCAATTATATTTATAAAAGTCTCACATAAATTAAAAGAAAGAAGCAACGCTTAACATTCTTCCCCAAAAATATTTGGCCCGCAAAATTTCTTAGGCAAACTGAAAACCAATGCTCATATGTGAATCAAAAGAAAATAAACCGACAAAAAAAGAAATAAATTGATGAGCAATTGTCATATATCTTTTATCCCATTGCTTTTACTAATTGACCATAACATGCAAGGATGCTACTAACTTATGTATTATCCAAACTTCAAATGTGCAACCAAGAATATCCAATTCTATTTATAAAAGGTTCAGACCCCTCCCCCACATAAATGTTACTTGACATTGAGGAGGAGGGAAGTGCAAACAATTCGACAAGCAAAATATGTTAAACAAACTGAAAAGTAGTACTCATATTCCTATCTAGAGAAATTAAACCAACAAAATAAAAAAGGAAATAAGTAGATAAGCATTGCCCATATATGTTTCACCACATTGCATCAATTTATTGTTCAGAACATGTAAGGATGCTACCAACTTACCTATCATGCAAACTTCAATTATACAGTAAAACATATGTAATTCTAATTATAAAAGTCTTAGTAGAAGAAAACTAAAAGAAGGGAGCAGTGCTCAAAATTCTCCACCCTAAAAGTGTTACTCGACAGTCAGAATATTTAAATTAATAAATATTTAAAAAACAAATGAATAAAGCTCATATATATCTATTCCATAGCTTTTATGGCTTGATCAGATTGCTATAGATGTTGCTAACTAATTTATCTTGCAAACTATAACTTTACTTCAAAACATATGCAATATGAGAAAAAAAGACAAATAAGTGCTCAGAAATCTCCCCCGCAAAATGTTCATCTATACATATTCATGAGAAAAAGCAAACTAATCGACCATCAAACATCAATGAATACATATGCAGATCAAGAACATAAAATATTTGACAGAAGAAATAAGAAACACAAAAGTAGGCAGCAAATGAACCACAAAAAAAAAAAAAAACAAAATCATAGAGGGAGAAAACTTCACCGAAATGTCGAAGCAAGTCGTCGCCGTCTAACGAAGGGAGAGGAGCATAACTGGGTTTTAGCCCTAACGATACGAGTGACAAAGGATGCCAGAGGCGATGGTATATGCGACGATAAGGAGTGGAATTATCGGAAATGCGAAGAGGAAACAACGTCAAAGGTACCACCAACGAAGCTCCAGTTGCAGAACACCCTCTCCCCCTTCAGTTTCGGCATTCGATCTTTTGCAACCCCCAACCAACGAAACACTCGAAGTAAAAGAGTCCCAAACACCACCACTTCTTTTCGACAAAGTAATAGCCGCAAAAACGAAACCACAAATGGGCTCTTAGAGAAAAGGAAAAAAAGTTGTAGACTGAGAAGTGTGGGGAGCGGGTGTGGGGGGCGAGCGCTATAGAATATGCTATACAATTTAAAACAACATTGAAATAATATAGAATAATAGGATATGAGCATTACCTAAGGATAGACTTAGACTTGGATTGGTAGTTAGCTAATGTTATGAAAGATTTTCTGTGTCGTCTATTGATTACTGCTATGAAATTCTCTGAATTGGGCCAATTAGGTGAAACAGAGAAAGCCACAAGTCTCGTACCAGCACAAGTAAATGTTCATTGCACAATCAACTAGCAAGTCGTTCTAGCACCCGGATGATAAGTTCAAGTAAGAGTCGATTGGCAAGCCCACTCACGGCATATCTAGCAAATTTACTGATTGGCTGCCCGACCTGATTTCCTTCCTTACATTTGGGTGATTTTGCCTTGAGCTATACAAAAGTAATAAATAGTTCTATATTTTAAATGTTTATACGTTAACAACAAGTTTGAATAGCTACAGTTAGATTTTTTAGATAGCTAGTTGAAGCATGGTTTAGCGCAATTTGGAGAATTTTTTTAATGCTTTTGAAACATCATTATTAGAAGAATCCAAGACAAATTATACCTCACAATCTTAAGAAGTAAATAATAAATCAATTATGAATTTAAAGTTCAACGTAGGAGCTTGTTAATGAAAAAAACAAACAAACAAGTCCCAATCAAATCTTTCGTGCTCATTCTAGTAAGTCAATTCTTATTATATTTTCAGGATTCATGCAATGTTTTATTTGCCTTTCAGAAATTATAATAATTCTTATCAGGCTCCGCAATACTAATACGCCTTGAGGAATTTCTCAAAATTTTCAGCCGCTTTCTCCGGGACTGACATCAAAACTGTGAATGCATGAAAATCTTCAACCACAGGCAGAAAGATGCAGTATATTTCACTTGAAAGAGGACCCATATGAAGAGGCCTCCCAACCCCAAAATCCAAATCCTCCAGCCCAAGCTTAGACCACTGAGAAATCACAAGGCTCGCCGACAGATCTGGCTTCATCTTCCTCTCCTCCAATATATCAATCACCGACCTCACCATCTCATCATTCACATTCTCCTTAGCCTCCTTAACCAGCTTCACACTATAATGCCGATTCGATCTCACAAGTTGCTCCACCACGGTCTCCGCACAGGCAAGCACAAAACCATTTCCATAGAATCCCATCGGAAGCCGAGGTTCCAGTTTGCTCCGAGCATTTACAGAGAACAAAAGCTTCACTTTATGGGAAGGCGGCAAATCCAGCGCCATGGCCCATGATCTCCACACGTGTGCCGCAAGGGCCTCAAAGGAAGTACATTTGAGGGAAGGGATGCATAGCTTCTTGATCTGAAGGATTTGGGACGCGGTAAAAGTTGCAGAGACAGGAACAAGTTGTTGACATTGCAGGAATTGTGTGAGGAGAGCCGATACAGTTCCTTGTGATGCAGGGTGAGTGAATTCTGGATGCGAGGAGGATATTTGTGGAGGATTTCTCGGCTTTAGCATGTGGCGACCATGGAAAGGGGAGACTGGTAGTGCTGTGTTTGGCTTTGTTGTGATATGTGCCCATGAGTGCAAGAATTGCGCTGTTCCGATCCCATCGCAGATACAGTGGCTTATTGCAGTACAGAGAATCATGCCACCACAACGAAGATGAGTCACCTACAAATCGGAAACAGAATGATTTGTTACATGTCATCAAACACTAATTTGCGATGAATCAGATTTAATAATTATAAAGAGAATAACAGCTGTAAGATGTCTCATGATTAGTATTGCAGACAACTGTTTGGATCCTACGGGCCGACAGGAAGTGTAGAGATTAAATTCCAGATAACATATAAAGAATATCACGTTCGATGTAGGCCAATGGTGTGGACGAGAAGTGGAGGAACTTGGGATAAGGCAATCATAATGAATGACTCGTCTCAGTGTGCGAAATAAAGGAAAAGTTATTCTCGAGAAGCAACAGCAAACAACCACCCTGTAGGTTGGTTAGTTACTTTTTGTGCCACTTTATGCTCGAGAGGCCAAAGGATCCTGATGAAAATTATGGGATATTGTTTGTTTATGTTAACCTATTAAATTTAAAAGGAATCGGGAGTTTCTTGCAAGCGAACACCTGCCCTAAATTCATTTGTTTGGATAATTTGGACAGATGCTGGAATATTGATGAATATGATGCAATTCTCGTAATGCAAAAAATTATTTTTGTTGGATTTATTTGTGGATTCATCTTAAGGAGGGACTTGCATCAAAGTAAAGGAGTGAGAAAAGGGGAAAATCTTATTTCCTATGAGAAAAAAAATACTCGTAATACCATATTCATGGATGCGTCCCTGGTTACATAAATCTTCCTTTTTTTTTTTTTTATGTACTATAAAATGACCGATTATTACACATAGATACATAAGAATATCAGATTTTATCTGTGTAATTCTTCATGATAAGATGTTTGTCTTCACACTAACATTCGGAACATTTTTTAAGTCCGCTTTAAGGAACTAAGATTTTAAACTACGATCTTCTGAATTTGAAATCGATTTCTGAATTTGACATGGTGTTCGGTAGCCTGTCAAGTCAAAGTTTATGTTGTCAGATCAGTGGCATAACTTAGGACTACTTTGGGAAGCTTGCCAAAATGCGGTGTACAACTCGAAATCGCCTTTTGAGATTTTTATTGTTAAAAATGATCTTCCAGAGAATTCTTACATCCAATCAACATAAATTCAAATTAAATAAAGTTTTTAAACCAATTTAAAATAAACAAGTAATTTACGTAAACGGTCTTCATTTACTTGAAAAATAACTGGGAATATGCCTCCTAGGATTAAAAACTATGATAGGAGCAAAATAATTCAAAAATTATAATTGTTTCTTAGTATTTAATTTATTACATCGTGATATATGTTATAGCTAATATCTTAATTAATGTGTATCTCGCCTCTATAATTACTAGTATCGGAGAATTCATGTTCAATTTTTATGAAAATTATTGTCGTGATTACATAAAAATGTCAAACTATTTTTCCCAATGTTATACATTACTTGATCAAAGTGCGTTGAATTGGATCCGACGACTCTGGATGAGACACGTGACACGTGTTAAAAAATCAACAACGGCAAACGCAAAGAGCCACCATTCAACTCGAAGCAAATTATCCAACAGACCCAATCAAGATAATCGGTCGAATAAGTAGAGGAACAACTCGTTGTCCTAGTAGTAGGAGAAACGACAATCTAACAATACACGATTCACTCATAGTAATAGTAATCTTTGACGGCTGTTGCAACCGACCGATAAAAATGAATTTAAAAGGCATGATCAACATTTCACAGTGCAACTTCTATTTACTATAAATATGAGAACAAGAAACATGGAAAAGGAACCTTTTATGGAAGCTCAGGGAGATTATTAATATTATACCCTTCAATTTTCTATTTCTCTCTTTCTCTCTCCTCCATACAATATATGCATGGGGTGTTATCTATAGATAAATCGGACTTCAAGACTGTGTGGTAAGTGTGGATCATGCTGTACATAAAAAAAATGAACCTCAACCTCAAAACCTTGGCCACAACTTAATGTATACCCCTGGGTTTGTAACTCAACAGATCAATAAACTTAAGGAACAAATGTTGGAGGCAATCAGAGACACTCTTGCCCACGAGAGAGCACAACGAAAGACCCGCAAACAATGACCGTCATCAATGGATAAAAAGACCTTGACCTAGACCAAGACACAGTCTATCAGGAAAGTGCAAGTTCTGCACCGCTCAATTATTGGAGATATAAACATGCTTAAGCGCCATGACTCATACCATTGAAAAATGCTTTCTCCCGACAAATCTTTGAAGTTGAGCCACCAGAATGATTCAAATTCTTGGCTTTTGAATCTTATTAGTGATGGTTTTATCTAACCAACCACATCGTTACTTTTGAGTTAACTGCAAGCTTATTAAGAATTAGTGATTCACTCAAGTGTGACAAATTCTTCACAACACTTAGAGAGTCGGTCCTCTGCTGGTTAAATGGTTTACCACCAGGAGTGATTTCCTCGTTTACATATATTTCAAGGAAATGTTGGTAGCATAGCTCGTCAACGCACATAAACCCTAGAGAAATTCACAAACTCTCCTGCCACCATGCCAAGGGTAAGAAAAATGCTTGTGCTCAATTATAACTCACTTTTAGAAGAAAATATTGAATGTCCTGCACCTTGAACCTATGACCGCGTGCGTCGCCTGACAAAAGAACTCAGTGAAGGCTCGTTTTATTGAGCCTTAGGCATACAAAAACACGTGACATTGGTTTTGCTATTTGAACTTGCCAACAACCATATATTTCATAAAGAATATAGTTCTCCCCTAACCACTAAAAAAGGTTCACCCGGTTGATACCCACCAAAGAGAAGCACTCACGAAAAGGTTGTGGACCAAGGAAAAATCCATATTTATCACCAGGGCTCTGCTTCAATGAGTGGTGACGGACGACTGAACTAAAAATAAAGAAGTTTATTATGAAGATCGAATGTATGCTGCGTGATGAGCAAATCAGTGTGACAAATAGAGGCTAACACCATCAACCTACGAACTTCCTTAGACAACACCACTATGAGTCTTGATGCAGAGGTGGTATACGTCATCCAAAATTCAAAAAATTTCAAGAAGGCACCATAAATGAAGATGGGATGTTATCTGGGAGACCTCAAGAAATACTACACATTTGAATGCCGACATCAACATAATTTTATTGAGTATCTAATTAAAGTTGAGAAGCTGAAAATATTTGTGGCCTTTGAGGTGGTGACTTAAGGATAGGGAAAGGCACCAATTGAAACAAATCAAATAGCATGCCCTCAATCCAAAAATAGAGACCTTGGAGAAGGAACTCCTTGTAACATTCACGCCCAATTATTGAAGAAGCCAAGATTATAGAGGTAGAAATTGAAGGGACAAATAGTTGGGTTGACACATACATCTATTTCTTTAAGTCCAAGAATATCCTTACAGACATTGCTGGCCACAGGCATTTCAAATTCAAATTCGTCCAATACCTTATGATGGATGATTAGATGTTCCAGAGGTCAACTATCTCCATGTACCTCATGTGCATTCTGAAAAATAATTTTGAAAGAATTCTCAAGGAAAAAAATCAAGGGAATAAAGAAGCCATTCCAGAGGCAATGTACTAGGCCATTGAATACAATGATAGGGATACTTATGACAGGGCCCCATAAGAGATATCAAAGAAATTCAAAGAAAATATGAGCAATGCTAAAAATTTGATCTTATACAATACCAATCATCTCTTCAATTGCAACCTATAATTAGCACTTGGTCCTTTGGAATTTGGGAACTCAACATCCTGGTACCATTTACCCCATCTAAAGGACAATGAAGGTACATGTTAGTTGCAATTGATTACTTGTACAAGTGAATTGATGCTCAATTGCATGCTTGGATAACCATCAATTTCATTCATAATTTCATTTTGACGAACATCATCTATAGGTAAAGCCTACAACTCACTCTCATCACAGATTATAGGACAATATTTTTTGAACAAGAAGTAACATTATTGTCACAATAAGGGATCAAACTTATGTTCACCACCATCCACTACTTGTGAACAAATGAAAGAGTTGAAGCTACCAACAAAATTATACTCAATTTGCTTAAAACGAAGGTTGAGGGAGATAAATACAGTTGGGCTGACTTCCTCCCAACCATCCACTGGGTGATTTGAATGACACCATCAACATCGACTGTCTAAACCCCATTCATGTTTTCACAAGAAATCAAAACAGTGTTAACCATCGAGTACAACCTTCACATACACAGATTGGTCATCATGTAAACTTTTGATAGTGAATCTAATAGAAAGAAATCAAGTGGAGGACCTCATGGTACTACAATAAGCATATCCGAGAAAACACCTTCCATAAAAAGGATTTGTTTAATGAAGGTTGACCCAATATTGTGGAGACAAATCATACGAATTTTTTTACCATACGTGGACCATAGCATTCATCCTTAATAAATGATCCAAGCTAGAAGCATACACACTCCAAACTTAAACTAAAAAACAAGTGCCTTACACATGGAGCAGGGACGACTTAATAATTTTCTTACTCTTAGGAACGTTGGTGATGTGCTTACTATTGTGCATTACTGTTTAGATGTTTTATTTTTCTTTCAGACATCTTGTTATTTCTTTAGATATTTATTATATCCTTTTCAGAATTATGTATAGAATTATTTTTGAAAAAAATATATACTTCACTGCAAAAATCATTGGTTGAGTCGACTCGTGAAACTAGGCTGACATGTAACTCATATATCATTTCAAACACTCTGACAACTTAAATTTGCAATAGAGTAACATTCGCCTAAGAATGAGCCAACATGCCTAAAAAGAGGCAATTTAGATGCCGATTAGCCACCCGAAATATCTTTAATCCTTTTCAATTCTTTTTAACCAAATTAATGTGTTCTTAATGTTTTAACTAGAAATGATTACTTAGAATTGGATTATTAAAATAATTAAGTGTTCAGTTTTATTTCGTAAAAAACAAAACCTCTCTTCACATGTTAAAATAAAGCTCAAAAAGAAAAAGTTGCCAACCAGATGTAGTAACTCTCAAGAGAAAAAAATGGGG